GGCATTGCATCCAAAATTCAGAAATAGCTTCCACTAGGTCTTCAAGACTTGGATTACGATATGTTCACGTAGTGAATACAATTTGATCTCATTTTGCACCACGCCCGAACTTTGAAGCTATGGCGCCTAAAGGATCGAAAGCGGCGATCCATATCGACTCGGAGAGCCTCACTGAAGTGACTGTTCGGGTTGGAGGGCCACCAAATTCGGAGTCGGCAGGTGACAAGGCTTCAGATGCCGGACCAGGCGAGTCAGGCGTCGACATCCATGTGAAGGGAGAAGACAAGACAGAGACTAAGGGCTACATGGGAAAGAATGCACAGGCAGGTTCCTCAAAAGATAGAAAAAACATCACAGTGATTCACATATCCTGCCATTGAGTGAACCTGAAGGACTACGCGATGGGCATAATGACTGGGTGGAAATTCCAATGACTGTGGACCATGGGGATACAGCATCTCCTGGCATGATCCCTTCATGTCCATTGTCGCCATCCCCACAGAAGAGCCCATCCGCGCCATCAGCTTCGACAGATGGTGAAAGCAGCAGTGTGGAAATGCTTGGCCGAGAGTGGAGCATGACCAAGAGGGCTGGCAAGGCATTCCATGTCCCTTCGCGCGGGATGCTGAAACATAAGAGCAGCTCTGAACTCCACCAAGGCCTGAGGTTCTGTGCTCGCTGCTTGGGATCAACGCCGCTCGTTCGGGAAGATCGATTTGCATTCTCTGGCGCCGATCCCACTAAGCTGCATCGCCTGTATCCAAACGGAAGCATGCATTGTCAGCTAAGCAGTGTGGGTGTGATCGTGAGCCCTTGCAAGCAATGTGCATTCCGTTGAGTTTGTTGAACTTGGACTTCAATCAGGGTATGAACATGGACTTTCTAAGAAAGTGACTTGGACTCTTGATGGTTCCCAAATAAGTAGGTAAAGATAGCACCTCTGCACAAGGACTCAAATGGCATGTGGCACTCTGATCGTCTTCGCTCCCAGATGCCTGTTCGCTTGAGATGCATGACGTTTCAATAGCGGTTTCGAGCAAATTCAGTACGAGATAGTATAGTTACCATGTTAGTTGAGATGCTTTGTACTTGTGATGTTTGGGAAATAGCCAACAAGAGCTTACAGAAACTCTTCAAGCCTCACAGGTGGATAGCGCAGAAACACATGCTTGAAATCGCCACGGATCCCGCTGGCGGCTATGCGGGATATCTTGAGCATGGCATAAACCCAAGAGAGCACACAATAGTCTTGAAGCATATGTCAGAAATATTGACCCCATATCGTATAGTTCGATTTCGGCCACACACTTCAAGCTCTCAATATAAGCATGCTCATGTTCGCTAGGCTGTAGGTCATCCAGGCCTATTTTTGGCCACCTGCGCAAGAATGACGCGCACAAACCAGAGGGTGCGGCAAGAATGACACGCACAAACCAGAAGGCGCAGCACCCGAGAGAACCACGGATCGATGCGGGCCGCCCAGCACAAGCAAGGCATAGGAAGGCGGTTACCCTAGTAACCGTCCTTCTGATGCCCTAGTCTTTGACCCGACGACCGCACGGCTCAAGGCTCAAGCGCATGAAAAAGTGCGCGACCACAACAGTGGTCTGGGGGCGTGACCTGGTCGCGGGTCGAACGTTTCGTTCACGTGTTTGCAACCAGGTCCTTTCGAACGATATCTCAACTGAAGTGAATCTTCATAGGTGGTGGTGGTGGTGGTGGTGGTGGTGGTGGTGGTGGTGGTGGTGGTGGGAGCGGCGGCGGCGGCGGTGGTGGCGATGATGACGGCAGCATTGGTGATGGCGACGGTGATGGGGATGGTGGATGATGACGGAGGGAAATGAAGTGTCTAGAGATCTAGGGAGCACACAGGGACACGCGTCTATAAGAGCACGCGTGACAGCACACATATGACAGAACATGCTGCGCCTCCCACAAAATCTGAATCAAGGTTGACAAAGCACAAAATCTGCACTGCAACGCGGCCAAACAGGAGAAACAGACCCGCAAGGAGCCCTCACCAGAAGAAAGGCACGGCAGGACACACAGCCCGGACAAGGCCTGGACAAGGCGGAGGATGACAAGGACACAGGGCTCGCCAGACAAGAGAAGGACACAAAATTCGCAAGCGTGGCGCAAGGACAGCAAGGTGACAACGAGGACAACACCCGGACACAGGGTTCAGTGGCGCAGCCGGAGACTTTGGCCAGCGTCCTTTTTCCTAAGAGAGAACCCCAACAGTAAACTGTTTGCGGAAAAAAGAAACGAAGAATAGGAAAAGGACACAAAAGCAGTCATTCCTTCTCAAGCTCTGGCCTGGATCCGTGGGCTGTGAGTTCTCCTGGCACCAGGCACAAACTGGTAACTACATCAAGCATTGAAGGCTTAGCAGCCAGGAGCTCAATCAAGCTGATACATCATACAAGAAAACACAAAATCGAGAACAATAGAGAACAAGGAACAGGAATTGAAGGAACAAGGACGCTACTGGTAACAAAGGGCATCGCTACTAGGAACA